TGGGCAGTTGATCTTATACAAACCAATGATGCAGCATGTAATATGACATGACCCCAAACAGAAGTTGGGAGTTTTGTTTTCATAAGTAATGATCTAGCAATAAGTTGTAGACGTTTAATAAACGATTCCGCTAAACCATTTTGTATATGAACATGTGCAACTGAATGTTCAATTTCAATCCCAATTGACATACAATAATCATCAAATGTTTGTGATCTAAATTCACCAGCATTGTCAAGACGAATAGTCTTGATTGAGTAATCGAGGAATTATGCTCGCAATTTTATGATTTGAGCAAATAGTCTAGCAAATGCTACATTCCTAGTTGAAAGTAGGCAAACATGTGACCATCTTGTAGAAGAATCAATTAATACCATGAAGTAACGAAATGGTCCACATGGTGGGTGTATTGGCTCACATATATCTCCATGTATTCTTTTCAAGAAAGTTGAAAATTCAATATTGACCTTTGTAGTTGAAGGTCTAATGACTAACTTGCCTTGCGAACAAGCTATACATGGATAATCATTCGATAAAAGAATCTTCTGGTTCTTTAAAGGATGTCCATGTGAGTTGTTTATTATTCGACGCATCATTATGGTTCTTGGATGTCCAAATCGATCATGCCAAAGTATAAAACTTTTTGAATCAACGAAATTCTGGTTCATAACATTATTTGATTCGACCATTTTTATAAATATAAAATACATGCCAGACGGGAGTGTATGAAATTTTTCTTTTATCTGCTTCTTGCCAGATACAAAAGAAGTGATGCAAAGATATTCAACATTATTTCTTGCATCGTCTCAATGTGATATTCATTGCAGCGAATATCTTTAAAACGAGGCAATTTCTTCTGGATTTGCTAAAATAAAGTGCATCGTCAATATATAATTTTGTATTATTTGGTAAAATAATACTAGCTCTTCCGGAGCCTTCAACGATATTCGACGCACCCGATATCGTGTTAACATTATTTTCAATTAATATTAAGTCCAAAAAGTATTTTTTGTCTTGAAAAATAGTATGTGTAGTTGCACTATCAATTAAGCAGCTGTCTTGACTATCCATCATGAATCTATAAATATGACAAAATAAAAAAAATTTAAAAAAAAACTTGAATTTAGATTTGAAAAAGTAAACATTACTTAATATCATGAAATAAACGGTGCATAATAGATTTTTTTTTTGTGCGGAAAAGTAAAAACATATTTCAGACTGAATTTGTAAAACGAAAGAAATACTAGTAAATTAATCTATATCTTCTATCACACCACCCCCAACCAAATGGTTAATATTTCCATTTGGATCAGTAAAGAAATCGGAGACATCCAAATGAGTTACATCAATTGGACCATCATAATCAACAAAATTAGTCTCCAATTTTTCTTTTCCCTTGATTGATCTCTGGTAGAGATCCACAAGATATTTTGAGGTACGACACGTACGTGTCCAATGCCCTTTCATTCACATCTGAAGTAACTTTCTTCATGCTCCCTTTGAGATTTGCCACTCTCGTTTGATTTGTGCCTTTTGAATTTATTGCCTTGTTGTTAATAACTTTGTTGATTATTTCTTCCATGATTTATTTCACGTACACGTCCGTGTCCGTGTCCGTGTCCACGTCTACGTCCACGTCCACGTCCGCGTCTACGTCCTTGTCTTGATATTGTATTTGCTTCAGACAATGTAGTACCATTTGCTTCAGGCAATGGTACAGAACCAGTTGGACGTAATCCATGATTTTTTATCAAAAATTCATTATTTTGTTCAGCAACTAGTAGGCAAGATATAAGTTTTGAATACTTTTTGAAGCCACGCTCACGATATTGCTGCTGCATGAGCACATTCAAGGCATGAAAGGTGGAGTAATTTTTTCCAGCATATCTTCATCGGTGATTTTTTCTCCACACAAAGTTAACTTTGAACATATTCTGAACAATTCAGAATTGTACTCACTAACCGTTTTAAAGTCTTGCAAACGAATGTGCATTCACTCATAACGGGCTTTGGGGAGGACTATAGTCCTCTGATGATCAAATCTTTCAGTTAACTTTTTCCAAAGAACTTGTGGATCTTTCTTAGTGAGATATTCAATTTTTAATCCATAGTAAAGATGGTGACTGAGAAAAATGAGTACTTTTGCACGATCCTGCAGGGATTCATTGTTTCCTTCTTTTATTATCTCTTCCAGACCCTTTGAGACGAGATGGATATCAGCATCCAGTATCCATGACAGATAATTTTTACCAGATATGTCAAGTGCAGCAAACTCAAGTTTCGTAATGTTTGCCATTTGTTAAACTACACAATAAAAAAATACTATTAGTTTCGAAAAATATGATTAATCATCACATGTTAATCAAATTGTCAATATCAACATGAATTTAAGTTACGTGTTTTCCTCTAAGGATAAACACTAATTTGAAATAATATGTTCTTCGAAATATATGCTATTTCTGGAGCACATTATATTTTACTATTATTTCTTTAAGTGCAATATGTCAATATTCTTCTGAAATATTGAGAGTTATAATTTATGCTCTTCAAGAGCAAATAATATTCTTATAATGTTGTGCTACTTCTGGAGCAACAACAAATAGATCTATGATTAATATTCTTATGGAATATTAATTATAATGTTTTGCTACTTCAGGAGCAACAACAATTAAAAATAAATTTAATGTTATGTTTAATCTATGATTAATATTCTTCTGGAATATTAATTATAATGTTGTACTACTTCAGGAGCAACAACAATTAAAAATAAATTTAATGTAATGTTTCATAACTACACATAAAAAAATGATAATACATCCAATTGCTCACCATTAATTAATATATAACACATTTAAAATATTATTTTGAATTAATAACGTGAATCGAGTGAAACACACAAAAAAAATTGGTGACATGTAGAAACCTATTCACATATTATGGTACGAAATTCTAATTATGTGCAATTAAAAGAATCAAAGTAGTATTAACCAATTAAGGCATGAAATTTGTAGAAACCAATGGATTTGAGAGAAAAGATGAGTTTGATACAGTTATTTGTTAATTATATATTATATATAAATGGAATCAGCCAAAATAGAGATTTGGAATTGAAGCTTACTTATAAAGAACATTGACCAATTAAACCAAAAAAAATTATAAGTATGTGTAGAACGTAAAGGACTAATCTAAATATAAGGATGGTATAGGAATATGAATTAATGCATATAAATTGATTTAACATAAAAATATCTCCATAAATATGCACGTGGATTGATGTAAATGAAAAAAATATTAATTAATTCAAAAAGAGGTACAAAGAAAATATAATAATCGACAAAGATGAAATCACGTATTGCAGATTCAACATATGTATATGTAAAATTCACGTATTATCAAATTAATTTTGATATACGTGATAGATGATTATGAAAAAAATTACTACTTTCTAAAAGTTTCGTGCTGATAATGTGTCATAAAATGAGAGGAAAAGATAATAGAGAAAACTCAATAAACATTTTGTGTGTATTATTGAAAACCAAAGCTCTATATTTATAGGTAAGAATCAGAGATACAATAGTAATAATTTCTAAGACTACAGGCGTACAAATGTCATTCACTAATAAACTTTAATAGACTTTCCATTTACAACAATATATTATTTATTTATTTATTATTTTATTTTTTTTGGGTCGCTACAGTATCCAACAAAGAAAAATGAGTACGAAATTTCCAATAAACACGCAAATATTTGAAAAATTCTATGTTTCAATTAATAGATGTGATTGAATATGGACAAGATATTGTGTGTTTTTTATTTGTTTGGTAGAGTGAACTCTACAGCATTAGACGTTTCTAAAAGGTCATCATATAAAGGATAAAAGAAGATGAAACAGAGTCTATTTTATTTGAAAATGCAAAATAAATAATTAAAAAAAAATTAACACTTTTGACACAACAAGAGGATTGTTATTAGGTACAACAAAGCCATTGTTACTGAGGGCTGAAACAAAAGAAACATAAATGGGAAATTAGGTACAACAGTATATTGATGGATTTGTGCATAAAATATCATTATGGTATTTGTATGAAATTATACTTGAAATCAAGAAAATGAAACTTTTTGAGATAAATTATTTCTATAGTTTTATACTCGAACAGTGCAATGGACAATTTTTTTTATTTTTTATTTTTAACATTATTCAATATTGTACATAAGGGTGTCTTATGGGGAAACATCGTTGGCTTGGGTTTTTACAGCTCTAAAAAGACTTCTCTGCCCGTCGAACACAATCCAAACCCCACCCCACCCCACTCCAACCCCTACAAGGGAAGAAAACAGAGAGAAGAGAGAAAGTAGATCCATCCGCACATCATATTATACCAAGACTTACTCATAATTATTATGAATAAAATAAATTTAGTTGGAACCAATGGTCCTACTTTCTTCATTAAACAAGCAAACCATTTTCAGTACAGCATGCATCAGATATCTATATAAAGGGCCAGGCACCATCCGAATATTGAGACTTAGGCACTTTGCCAAAAAAAAAAAGTGTGACATAAAGAGTGACAGAATGGGCATTGACAAGCTGTGTGATTAGATGAAAAAACTGACTGTGTTTAAAGCAGTCCAATGATGAAATACCATGTGGTATTATGTCAACCATTATGTCAAGGATTATGTCACTTTAACATGATTCCTATGGCATTTTGCTTAGCAGCCACTAGCATCACCGCCTATAAACCTTACACTTATGCCTCACTGGTTACTCACAACGAAATGCACCAGGCTTACATGTACAACTCGCCAGTGGCATATCAGCTACACTAAAAGGAATTATCTTGCTTTCACTCAAATAATATTTTCAACAATGTTAATGAATTTTCCCGCAGTAGTTCAATCAGCTATACTTTTCTTCTTCAAAATTGGTTTTTGGCTCTCATTCTTTGTTGAATCTGCCACTTAAACAGATGGTGCTAATACATCTAACAGCGAAAACTGAAAGCTAATCTTAGGAGCCCGTTAAGTAATTTCAACTATTAGTCAGTAACAAATATATTCCCATGGACTTATTTCAGGTTACAGAAGCGATTTTATATTACCATAAAATTAGCTTTCACAAGATAAAAGAAAGAAAAAAAATAGCTATGAAAAGTAAAAAGTTGTATGAAAAACACTATAAACTCGAAGGAAAAAAAAAAAAAAGGGCAAGATCACCATCGTATAAAACAACCTTCCTAGTGCTTGGGGACGTTAATATCCACCTCCTTGAAACAAATTGGGCAAGCCTGTTATATTAGGAACTGTTAGCAACATAATTTCTTACTAAACTACTTTTTGAGAAGGGCAGGTGGTACCTTGTTGATGCTAAGCCATCTGCTTCCACAATCTGTATGGTAGACATGCTTGCATGGAAGAGTCATCTGCCTATCACCTCGTTTGTACTCCATCTGGCAAACTACGCACCTGTTAGCAACAGAAAAGGAAGAAGATTCCAATTAAACACTATCAAAGCAAATGCCGTAAGATTAGGATTGTTATCTTTTAAATATTTAAAATTAGATTATTCATATTTTAGTATTTTATAGAATTAGGGATAGGATGTGGGTTGTAACATTGTTAATTAAGTTATGTGTCATTTTATTAGTGAAACTTTAGGTCCTTAATGAGCAACTTTTTTTCTCTCTGTCTGAAAAAGATTAACTTTTAAGGTTAGACAAACATGCCTAAATAAAAGGTAAGTTTGACTTTTAAGTTTAGACAAATATGCATATAGCTGTGAATATCAGGACACATAAAACTTGGACATATATTTGGGTAGCTAAGTTGCATAGACATGCAACAGAGACAAGACAAGTGATTTTTGAAAAAGTAAGACATGGACAAGTCAGAGATACATGGATTTAAATTCTTTAATATTTTAAATCTACATATATCTAATATTTTTATAATTTTCAATACAGGACATGGAACATAACATGTCAAACGCTCAAGGTGGGCATACAAAGTATGGCCCAAGTGTCAGTATATATATATATATGGGACAAGGGGGACATGTCACTTTGTTGGATACATATCCTTGAGTGTCTGACGAGTGTCGGGGGTTTAACACGACACATTGCCTTAACAGGAGTGTCCATGCATCATGGTTCAGTAGTAAGTTCAGGTGGAAACAAGTTATGTGGCTCTCTTTACCTTTCTCCTTTGAATTTCTTTTTCGAGAATAAACCACGCTTAAACTTTGAGGTTGGAAGCAACGCAATAAGATCCTCGGAAAGACCTTTGCTTTGAGTTCCAACTGCCTCGCCCAGCTCAAGCAGCTCCTATAAAAAGGAATGAGAGAAATATGAGTATTTTAGAAAAATGCAATCTGAATAACCACATCCCAAAAATTGTTCTTATTCCATATGTATACTTAAATAAAAAAAATGGTTTTCAACTACAAAACAAACTAAATGCACTTCAAGAAATTTTCCTGAAAGAGATCATCCTGCAGATTTAATTCACACCAGTAAAGAATGTCTTACAGAATGTGTAACAAAATCCCTTCTCAGTTTCATAATTTCACAAACAAGAATGGACAGTCAGAGAAGAGAATAAAGCAGAAACTTTTATGGAAAGACGGTCTGCTTAAACCAACAACAGTCGCTTTAGCAAACTGTTTTGTCCTCTATCAAGATAACTGAAGATGGCGCTAACACCATACTTTGCAGAAACAAGAAATGAACAGCCACTTTAAAACTGCAAGACCGGGATATATTGAAAATTAGCAGGCTATTTTTTCATGGAAGTAACTCTGTATTGCCTATTGAAGTGAAAAGAAATTGGGCAATACAACCAAATGAAAATTATGGCCACAAAACAAAAGTCATCTTCGAAAGGGAAATTTACATCTAAAGTCCCCCATCTAAGCATAGTGAAGCACTTAGGCCCCAAACCTTTCCGCTTTGCCGAATTTAGGTCCCCATTGGACAGAAACTATCTGCTGAACTTATAAAGACCATTCTACCTCTACTTTGAATAAAATAAAAGGAAGGGAATGATAAAAAATAAAATAAAAAAAATTCTATCATTCTCCCCCACCAACCCCCTTCACTGCCACCACTGGCATTCTCATGCAGCTTCAGATTATACAAGTAACCGTCCTCAAACCAGCATTAAGCTAAAGGGATGTGTTCAAATATATTCGCCCATCTAAAACTGGAAATTGATTTCCTTCTTCATCATACAAACATAATCTGAAGCTAGTATACCCCGTGATAGCAACGATAATCTAAAATCCTCGGTTTAATTAGAATTACAATTATTGGAGTTACTACACATCCCATTGAAACTCAGGAGACATTTGATAAAATTTATTATTAGAAAGTCGCAAGACATGCAAGGCATAAAAGAGAAGACACATAATTAATATTTCAAACCTCATAAGTCATGTTGTCAGGATCAATACTGTCCTGCCAAACAACCTGCATTAGTTCACAAAAGAATATACAAATTACTACCAATCATATCCTCCCTAAAGTTAAAAATGAGTTATTAGCAATTGAAAAGCTATAAAAGCACATAACTACAAATGTGAAAACCTCCTACCTCATATTCACGAGTGTTCTGCTGATTTCCAGGACCTGGAAACCAAAGATCAATAGTCAGTGCCAAAAAATAAAATCAGCGAGCTTCACCTCAGAGCAATACAATATCATCGCACGAGTGTAGAAAAATAACATTCATAAAGATAGTTACATATGAAGAATTTTAAAACCCAACAAGCAGAGGAACACATGGAGTAAGACGGTTTTCTTCCCATAAAATTTATTTCTCACCACGTCAAACTCTCTCTCACTTCCAGAAGATGACCATTATCATTTACATTTTACAGCATGAAAAACTGGGACATATTGCTTCTGGCTTAATTTAATATATTCTTATCAGAAAAATACATAACCCATATACAAGAAGCATTAAACATTCACAAGGTAGCGTAAGGGTTGAGACTAGTGTAAATATCATATTAAAGTAAGTGTCGATACTCGTGTAAATTGCATATTCAAGTTCCTCACTAAATATTTCCTATTTTATTTCCGTGGACAAAATGAAAGGTCTCTCAATGTAACAGACACAACTTAAAATGAAAGAGTGCTATTATGCAAAAGTTGCATCCATTAACATTTCTATATAAATTGGTTGGAAACCAAAATCAGAACTTACACTCTAAAAATGAAGTGGAGCTCAAATTTTCTTCCTCATGCACATGTGCAGCTGTAGCCTGATCAACAGCTGGCATCGACTGGTTCTCCAAGTGCCTATTATATTCATCAATCCCTTGGATATGATCGTTGACCACATAGCCATCTCCACATTCATAGTGTGAGGAACTTTCAGGTTCAGTTACCGCAAATTTGTAAAAATTAGCATTTGTGGCATAGTAAGAACTCTCCTGGAGTAGTTGAAGCAATTACATACATTATTCTCTGTATGCAACTTAATATTACTATTGTTCAAGTTCTTGCAAAAAAGGAAAATAGGGTATATCATTGTTTAGGTAAGGCATAACATTAAATCATCTGCTAAATCTACGGTGGTCCTTTAATGAGTAATTGAGGCATCTTTAGATTGATCAAGCTTGTTTTGAAATCGTGAGCAACCTTTTGTTAAGTCAAATTCAAGCTAACTTAAGTAACACCATTGATTACACAGTTTAGGATATTTACTAGCTCAATTAGCAATTCTTAACCCCAGTTGAAAGTTGAAATAAATTGAGGACCTCATTTATGCGTTCAAACTCGGTTTATCTTTGACCTCCAAGCCCATCATACTATGACAACATTATGGTCTATCATAAATGGCATACTGTCAAAAGAAAAGGTAACTTTTGAAAAATCTCATACATAGCAAAAAGCGGCAAAAATAGTTACTTAAAAGTGACTTTTAGGCTTAGCACATGACATATAACGTTGAACGTGGTTCAAGCGAGCTAAGCCGAAGAAAACATCAAGCTACCCTAGCCTCTTTACAGACCCGTGCTGGTGAAGTGAACTGAAGGCAAAATTCTCTGAATTTTCACTCAATTATCAGCCACAACAAAAAGTCACAAGACAAATATTTTTCGAGAAGCAGATCAAATTTGAATAATGTACCTGAGCATAAGGAGCATCTGCGAAAATGAAATTTACGTGGTCATAAGTAAGACCTCCAAAAAAATCCACGAAGCTTCCAATTGAATTGTAAGGCATAGCATGATTTTGGTTATCAGCTTCCATTGGCAAGTTCCAATTCATCTTTGAAAATAATTTTTCCTTTTTAAATTAGATTTATCCAACAATAATTCAATAATTCTCAATTAGTCGCCCATTCTTGCAAACCCTGAAATGAAATACATCAAATTTTAAGTAAAAATGTTTGAAAAAATTCAAGTCATATCTCTTAAATGAACAAAGGAATTACTAATAATAATTAAAAAAAATCCATTTTACATTTAGGAAAAAAACAGAATAGCTAAATTCTGCGATTTCAACAAGAAAAACTGCAAATAATTTTAGAACGCACTAAAAGATTAACAAAATGTCAAATAAGAGAATTTACAATTTCTAAGAAATAAAACGGATCCCAACAAAATTTAACTCAAGAAACAAAAGTAACATTAAAGTCAAAACCACATTTACATCTACATTTTAACAACCCGTCAATCTCTGCAAATTTTGAATTTCTGTGACGGGGTTTTTAGAAACTATGAAGGAAACGAATGTAGAGCAAACAAGAAAGAAAAAGGCAGAATTAAGCATTACAATTTACAAAAGATTGATTCTTCGAGCATATACTCTCTCTCTCTCTCTCTCTCTCTCTCTCTCTGTGAGTGTGTGTGTGTGAAGAGCTCACGAAAAAACGAGTGAGAGGACTTTGTCACTTATGTAGAGAGACGAAAACAAGAGATGTTTCCCTGCGATGTGGCGCACAGTAAAAGAAAAAATCAATTGTAAATTTGTTGATTAGTGGCCAATCACGTGGTCCTTTCAGCTTTTTTATTTCATCTGATTGGGTAGGTTTAGGTAAACTAATGTAGGTGAAAAACTTTTATTAGGCGTGGGCTCCACATAGATCTTTTCACCGAAGACCGAAGTTATCGGTTACTGTACTTTAATATCATCGGGGGTTAGTGGCCCCAATACAATTATTGACAGAAAAAAGATTAAAAAAAGCAAAGGTGAGTCCAAAGGGGAATAACCAGTTTCTTGTACTTCACTTCTAATTTCTGATCGAGTGAAAGATCACCAGTGATAGATCGATCGATATCTTAAAAATGTAGGATCAAGTGAATGAATTGTGTAGTCAGAGTTAAAGAATATCGAGCAACAGATTGATCAATATCTCTACTATATTCAACTGAAATGAATCACGAAGTGACAAAAAAGATTAATAAAAAAAGTAAGTCAAAAAGGGAATAGTCGGTTTCTTGTACTTTAATTTTAGTTGGTGATCGAGTGATAGATCGATCAATCGATATCTTAAAATGTAGGGTCAATTGAATGAATTGCGAAGTTGGAGTTAAAGAATTTCAAGCAATAGATTGATCAGTATTTATATTATATCCAACTGAAATGAATCACGAGGTGAGAAAAATGTTTAATAAAAAAAGTGAGTCAAAAAGGGAATAGTCGATTTTTTGTACTTTACTTCTAGTTGGTGATTGAGTGATAGATCGATCAATCGATATCTTAAAAATATAGTTGGAATTAAAGAATATCGAGCAATAAATTGATCAATATTTATATTATATTCCACTGAAATGAATCACGAGGTGAAAAATAAAATCTATTTTCTTGCATAAACGATATTTTTTTGATCCACCAACCTATGACACCACTATTCATATCTAACCTAGGATCCTTATCTTTTAGATCACCAAAAACATTTTAATTGGGCCCAATTGAAGTTGGCATTTGTTGAGGTTGTTATAGTTTTTTCCTTCCATCCTACGTAGTTAACTATGGAAAAATATTGATTATATTAGTAATCTACATAAAGGAATACAAGATTTGAAATTTTACTATTGGTCCTCAAAGTATTGTCTGGAATAGTATATTGGTGCCCAATTTTTAAAGCAGTGCAAGTTGATCATCAAATATTCATTGTAATTTTTAATATTACGTAACATGTTACTAATTTTTTTCCCGTGAACATCTTGCAAAAAAGTTTTCTAAACATGTGAACATGATCACGGCGGAGGACAATATGTTTTTTTTTTTTTTCCGCCTTCTTTTTATAGTGAATTATTTCCCTTTTTCTCTTGTCCTTCATCTTTTTTTCCTTTAAAGATTGGGAGAGTTGTCATTCATGTGAAAAGAACATAACTTCGCGTGCCACGGAGGGATTCACACGACATTCCTTTTTGTCGGGCACACAGCACATACGACAAAGGTAATCAAATGAAACGACAGACCCACTCTTTAGTTTATCAGCCAATCTAAAGTGTTTATTTTTCTTAAACTGAAGTCAACTCTTTTATTGCCTGTGTGACTCGTTGGTTTTATTAGTTTGGCCATTTTGGCTCAATGTGTTTGCAATCATTCGATTATTGGGTTAGTGAGTCTTCCCTTATACTTCAAATTAGAGTTGACCTACTACATGTCAAACATTCACGAGGAAGTGTAATGAACGAGAGTTATCGATATATATCAATGTAGACACCAAATGGCAAAGGAACTGGAGGTAGAGTTTGGTTGGGTGTGTTCAAGTGTGACGAGAGCAGATAGAAGAGTGATTGGAAGTAGGGATGTCAAACCAACCCATCGACTACAACAGTCCAGCCCATGAAAAGCTTGGCTCATGGCTCGTGGACCCAAGCCTGAGCCCACCTGTGCAATGGGCCAAAATGACCCGCGTCACAAGCCCATAAATATCGAGAGAGAGAGAGAGAGAGAACCGGCTCGTATTGGTAGGCCCCAGCCAAGCCACAGATTTTAGGCCCATCTTGGGCCAAAAAAGCCCAGGCCTATTTTTTTTTGCCAAACATGCATTAGCTGCAAACCAGCTCAGCCCATCTCGTTTACATCCCCGACTCTGTGTGCTTGCTCAAGTGTGTTTGATTGATAAAAGGGCAGTGCGCAATCAGGGAAGGTACTTCGCCCATTAAGATGGGAGTCTGGGGGACAATCAAATGGACAATTCTAGACGAGTAGGTGGCGGTGGAGGTGGAGGGAAGATCCTTCACCGAGCAAAAAGGGATTTCGTAAGGACTCAGATCTCCAGTCCAATAAAGCAAACCAACACACAAGCATACCCCAGAAGTTATACTTTTGAGTGTTGAATTCAACACCTCAATGTGAATTTCAAATGGAAGTGAAACTGACACGATATCAAACTATGTGCATGTTTGCCAAATCTTAATTTCCTTTAAGTTGGTCAAAAATACTTTTTATTAACGCATTTCACAAGACTCACAAGTCACAACTTACTATCCACTTTCACACTTCATAAGGCTCACACCTTGGAATACTACCAAACATCTCAAGGTAAAACAAACATTCTGCAGTCTCGGATATGTCAAATCTAGGCAATGCACAGGCCAGAAGTTCATAAGCAAGCAAAAAATAAACTACATCTCTTGCAATTATCATGGGTCAGTTCCCGCGAACAGAAAATAGTGAATCCCAGTCACCTGGAAACTTGGTACAGCTCTAAACAATGAATCTGCAAGTTCGTTCAAATTCACTTTTCACAACTTATGATGATAGAATTACAGAAAAGAGAGAAGTCGTAGGCAATGGAAGTTTCTTAACATTTCCACTCTTTTCCCACCTTGTGAACATATGAAAATACCTGGAGTACACAAGCAAGAAATTGAAAGCAAAAGCGACAAACTCACCATCTCAACTGACGTAGGAGAAACTCTAGATAATCAATAAATTGATCCGATGAATGCCCTGGTCCCACAGTTTGGAATTGACATTCCAACAGACAAGAACCTTTTAAATAAAAATAAATCACGAAGTGTACTCAAATGGCTGGGGCGGCTGGGGCTCCTCATCGACAGTCATGGCTGAGGCTGAGCCCTGTTGTCCAGTAACTGATCCACCAACATTCGATGCAGCTGCTGCTGATGAGGGTGTATCAGTGAGGGACAACACTTCAGGTTCATTTGGACGTAGATCTTTTAAAAGAACAAATCCTGAGGGTGCTGACTTCACTGGCACATATCGGCTTTCTTCCAGGAATTTGATGAATTTTTCCTGAGCAGGAACCACTCTGGCAGGGTTGGTCAATAATTCAAAAGATGGCTCTGGCTCTGCCTTCTTGTCTGCAGGATTATCAACCTGGCAATAGCAAACGTTACAAATCAGTTTGGTTGATTGCTATAATAACTAGAGGGTCCAACTAAACTAGATTGTCCGCAGCAACAGAATGCCATATTACTTTTAATTTCTCTCTCCCTCTTCTAACATGTTCTACTCGTACCGCATCTTCTGGTGAATATGAGCTCCTTTAGGTCTGCAAGACATGCACCATTTAATAAGTTATCTATCCCTCATCCTCCCTCGGTGCCACTCCACTTGTAGTAGAATATTCTCATTTCTTCTCTTATCCATTCTGTTACTGCCACACGATCATCTTCCCAACCTCATTTTAGCTAGGTTATCTCGACGACATTGTACTTCAATAACCCAACATTTGTCGTACCATAAAGCACATGTCTAATAATTATTTTGTGGACTGACCTTATCGACCTAATGGAAATCTTCCAATCAAATAAAATTCATGCAGCACATCACCCACCATGCATCATATCCTCTTAAGGTACTTCCATATTAATAATCAAACCAGAATACCCAAAACTATCACTCTTCGAAACAACAACATACTCTATATTAACTCCACTATCATATCCTTTTGCATACTAATTATGAACTCCATCTTAGTTTAACTTGAACCTAATAATTTAGATTCTAAATTAGTAACTGAAGTTCTAATAGGAAATTTAACCTTCTCAGCTTTCCTAGTTTCATGTATGCAAAATATATCATTGACATACAACACACACACACAAAGGGATATCATCTTGATGTGTTTACCATCACTCAAGTAAATAGGGTAGCTTTATTTTCCAAATATAGCAATGAAATTCATATCGACCATCACTGTCCTTACATTTTCCAAAGGACGAGATTAAAGATGTTGCAAAAATCCACCAACCCAGTGCAGGAAGGGGAGTGCAGCTTATGCATATTGTAAGCCAAACACAGAACACTCATAACACACGTAAAAGGGAAATGATAAGCAAAAGAAACGAGGATATAGATCATTAAAGTTGGACCATCACCATGGCCATTGCAATTAGAGCACCTTGACGAACAAAATCAACGACATCTGATGTCAGAGGCTCTAGCAATGATATGGCCTCACTGAGACCAGTACCTGCACATGAAATTCCAACTGCCAATGCTGCACCATACCGAACATGCGGGTTGTAAGACTCAGATAACAGGGAAACGATCCGAGGAGTCTGCATTTAGAAAATTCAAAATGATTATCAGTATGAACACAGATTAGAAGCAAAACAGATGTTATTTTTCTGAAGACGCTTGAGACTTAAAAAGTGTAGAAAGAACAGCTATAGCAACACTACAAAATAAACATAAATAAAGGTACCAACCTGCTCTGGATCAGAGTACAAGACAAACCCAAGAGCCAGGACAGCAGTCCGCCTGACATCATCACTCACATCAGACACAGCAAAATGCAGCAATTGGCGAATGGCCTTATTGTTAGCAGTTCCCCTGTATGCCAACGCCAGTGCATACATGCCACCATAGCGCAATATAGGGTCTTGATCCCGTATCATTTGCTCAATCAGTGTATCTGCTTCTTCCTCTCTTCCATAGACTGTAAGTGCTATTCCCAATGCCAATCCCCTAAATCATGCAAATAAAAGAGAGGAAGAAGGATGAGTGAAATCATAGTCCTAGACATGGACAATAGTTACATAGTCCCAGACCAGGGCAATAGGAACAAACTATACCTGATAATCTTTTCATGTTGCGTCTCATGTGCATAAGCAAGCATTTCACCAGCCTTCTCACTTGCAGTTCCAACCATCAGTAAACCCATACTAATTCCAGCAGCTTCACCAGCAACAGCACTGTCTGTGTAAAGCACATTTTTTATGTCATCAAAGACATCATTGTCGGCAGTTCCTAAAGCAGCCAAACCAAGGCCTAGGCATGCCCCATGCTGAATAACCTGCACCAAATAATTTTTCCAATAGTAAGCTAGCTGGTAAACAAAGAAACATAATGGGCGCATAGGAAGGTATAATCAATGAAAGAAGGCAAATATATACCTCCACATTGGTACTTCTTAGGCTATCTCGAAGAAATTGCTTAATTCCCTCCCCATGGTTCGCGTGAATTAAACCCAAAGCATAAAGTGCACCACCTTCTGAGTATGGACTGCCACCACCACCTGCCCCACCCTGAGGCAAATAAGGTGCCATCAATGATCTTCCTTGCTGCAGATGGCCTCTGTGTATAACACCCAGTCCTGCTGTTGCACTGAACTTGGCCCAATTAGTTGCCCTGCTCAGCCAGTCCTACAACCATGCACACAATAAAGTTAGGCATATTAGAATATTAATCAACAATACATGAAATTAAATAAATCAATACAAAGTGGAAAACCGACTGACCAGATTCTCCCTGAGGAATGTATCCACAGTAGTTCCAGCATGCATAATTGCATTAGCATATATAGTTGCACTATGGCAGACACTGTTTCTCATCTCAACAGACTGTTTTATTGTCTTGAGCATAAGGAGATCCGATCTGCATTCAAATCAGCAAACAAAAGTTCAACAGATTTTAATCACAAACTTCTACGGACATGCTGAATAACTTGCTAGAATCTATCAATGCTAAGCAACAAACTGACAGAATTGCCTCACTTGTTATGACTGTATAAGAATTGCAGAGCCAACTGAATAGAAGTCTCTCCTGACAAAATTCCTCTGATTTTTGTTAACCTTTCAGCATAAACTGCTTCATTTGGATCAGCATATGATGCACTCTTATCTACTTGAGTTCCATCCGTCATTTGAACATCTTCTGATGAGGTGGCAATTCCATCTCGCACAGAATCTGGCTCTGAAGAACCTGACTGCACAGGCTCTGATGATTGTAATTTGGGACTCGACAGCCTATCTCTCACAGTCAAAAGGAAAGCTTGGTGCTCATTCTCAACAAGATCAAACGCTGTCTGAAATGCAAGCAGAGCATCTTCCTTATTATCTGATCGCAGCAACTTTTCCAATATGCTAGCAACACCATCCGGTTCATCCAGAAACATGAGGCGCTGACAAATGCTTAAATAATCTGGAGAAGGCAATTGCTGGTATACTTTGACAAGAAGATGAAGCACCTTTATGGAGGAATAAAATCAGCATTCGATGTATTCAAAAACAACCTTGTTTGTTATAAAGCTCATAGTCCAAAATTCCTCAAGCATTTTCCACATTAAGCATCAGCTAAAAAGAACTAAAAATTCAAAATACAGCAATGAACAATGGTATATATGCACATATATTCTCAAGTATATACAATTCCTTAAATCTTTTCTCCATCAAGCAACAGCTAAAAAATCGAAAGACCACCCATCATTAAGCAACGAAACAAGGGTATAAGCACAAATAATGGTGCTTGTGCATATAAGTACACCAAAAAACGCATTTATTTTTCCACGTCGATTGCTAAATCAACATGGTAAACATTCGAGAAATCTCAATTTTGTTGTACAAACGAAGCCCATGGCACTAATTATTTTGAAACATTTCTCTTCTCAAATAGCTTAAGTTCCTGGTAGAGCTACTGCTAGCAGCCAGAAAAATAATCTATCCAGTTGTTAAAGCATCCTGTGGGTGTACTAAATGTATAACAATAAATTCTTCAGTCATGCCCATTTAACTGCTCCAATTTATCTATTTGTCACAAACTGGTGTATTTCCATGATCGAGCAGAGAAGCAAAAATCACAGCATTGATTTTTGCGCATATTGTATATTGCAGTCAATCACATGCACATACAGCACACACTTAAACATTAGTACCTATCCATTCTAGTATACATTACAGGTTTAAACGTTGCAAACATCTAAACAACATTTGAATAAATGCCTAGCCTGTAAAACAATAATGGATTAGTTTCAATTTCCTACAACTTTTATCTCTCTTCTTCCTTGTACACATCTTCAAAGATCTTTTTGTGTCATTTCAAGAGCAAAATGAAGAGGTTGAATCTAATACGATAGAAGATTGTGGAAATTATACTAAAAAAATTATAATATCACTGGAAAAATATACTATAAAGGGGAAAGGCTAGACAAATGTGAATATGGTGTTAACTGTGAGACATTACCTCACAACGATATTCTCTTCGATTAACAAACAAATGACAGATATCAATGCAGTAATTAATGGTTGAATGAACATTATCGCTCTTTATAATTGCTTCCTCGAGCTTATCCAGTCTTCGGCATTCAATGGCCATTCCAATAGCTTGTTGATATTTTCCATCTAGTATACATCTGAAAAGAAAGGGAGGACACCTAAGTCAAGAAAAAAAAAAAAAAAACATACAGGATACAGCTAATTTTGGTATCAGTAAAACCACAAGTTCCCATACTTATCAAGCATTCTCTCAACAATAGTCTCCAATCTAGGATCCACCACTGCAGATTGGTCATTCCCTTCAGAAGCTTTAGTCTTGAAATTGGCATACTCATCTATTGCTTTAGCTGAGTGACACAAGATATAATAAATTACTATTAGCATGCAAGGAGTCAAGAAAGCATCTGGTAAGACTGTGTTCTCGCTCTGTAATAAATTATCAAGAAAGCGTACTAATTTTTAATAAATTCCATATACTTCTCATGAAAGGTGTGAGCCAGAGACATTAGTCTTTCTTGAAGAAATAAACATATTTACGCAGTTCATCTGAGAAAAACTGAATGAGGAATAAAGTCATACCAAGTAGGGTATTAACATAGTCCGAATCCTCTGAAACATCAAATAGAGGGCCAGCTCCAAGGGCATAGGATAAGGAGTCGTTAAGTTCGCCTAGATAATAAAAAACCTGATTGCAGAAAAAGAGAGCTCTGTTAAAGACGAACAAAAGATGCATACGACGCAGAAAATAATTAATTCCTGGTTTTCATTAAAATTCTTGTTAGATATAAGTTCGATAGGAAACAAAACTATAATTATATTTTCTGCACTCCAATATTTCTTCAATTTAAATAGACTGTCTTCAGGTTAGTTACAGTCCAGCATACGATTCTTGACGACATAAAGTAGGACAAAATGCCTAAACACCCGATCTTTTCATAGATATATTGCTTCAGGGCAAAGCAGTGAATCTTGGACCCGAAACTCACCATTAAGTGCATGTTTATTAACTTACCTACATTCATTCTCACTCCCTTTTGAAAGAAGATTTAGCCCCTGTTTGAGTCCCATTCTTCATAAACTCATTTTTTCTCAAACTCACTTTCAAATATATTACATTGTTCTAGTTTAATCTAGCATTTTGAATGGAAATACAATATTCACATCTATGAATCTTCCCAAAAATTAAAAAAAATAAAAAAATCCAGCAATTACAAGTTAGAGATGATAATGTTTTTGTCTAAAAACATTAAGAGAATTGTGAAGTACAGATGTCAAGATCTTTGTGGTAACCCTCGTCTCAGGATCTAATCCTATCAAGACAAGAACCCCTTTCCTTCCATGATATTTTTACAACTATTTGCTTAGGACGACTTCAAGTCATCAACAAAATTATTTCATATTTATGATTCAATTTGTCTTTAACCAAACATATTCATCACTTCCGTTACAAAATACAAATGCATAGAAAAGTACTTATAGATGTTAAGTCTCAAAACAGATATGTAACAGTATTTGTCACCACCCTGTTTACTGAAGTACATAATACTGGTATTTCGCTAAAAGGATCATAACATTGGTAATCAGAAGCATGTACATTATCTAACCATATTTTCCTACTTATACATGATCATGAACTATAATATTCATAATTCAGTAAGTCACATTAACTTGAATGAGCAAGTTAATTCTTGGGATTCTGCAATCAGGAGTTACCCATGATTGACAAACTTAAGCATGCAGATGCTTCCCATATGGTCTTTAGACCAAAAATATGGACACTTTCCAATTTCAAACTTAATCAAAAGTAGAAATATAAAATTCTTACCTTTGAAACAAGTAAAGCAGCCAGTTGTCTTTGGTCAAACTCTTCATCTTCATACAAACTTTCTCTGCATACCCACAAAATAAAAGAGAAGTACCCAAGCATTATTCCTAGGGAATGGATGGATACTAATTTAAAGCCAAGTTTCCAGATACATAGACACAAATGCAACTACTTGCATGAAACTTAAAAGACCTATGAGCAACAAGCTTACCAGCAACACTGCTTCAAGAGATACTCCTATGGTTCACTACAAGTCTTTTTCTTTTTTCTTTTTTCCTTTTTTTTTTTTTTAATAGGTACTACAAGTCTTTTATGGACAACATCTAATAGTAAGATGTTTAAAATCCAACTTTCTTTATACATATCAGAACCAATGGTTGTCATACTTTTATATATTGAGGAATTGCAGAAGCATGGGGTTGTTTCTCACGTCTTTAAAAAGATACCTAAGTCCTAACTAAGCTAAGTAATTTTATGATATCAACAGAAATTCGGGTCTCTCAAGTAGAAAAAGCCCATGGTTTCAGAAGGTTTTCCAACATCACTCAAACGACGTACTTATAAGAGACCTAAGACACATAACTTTACTGTTTTCTACTGCTATATTATCTCTTCTTGTTGTGTTTATTGTTTTATTATCTTTTTATCGATGAGGTAAAGGAAATAAAGTTGTAAATAGTTGATCAATTGTTTCATTCACTACGGGCTCTTAAGGATTATTGATCTTTTTCCTACTTCAAAATTTGCTACTTTAAGAATCTATTTCAAATTTCCAGTTCTAAATTAGACTTTTAATTATATTGAAATAATATATTATGGATCAAAAAAAAATTTAAAGTTTACAATGATAATAATTCAATATTTAGAATTATTTAATGGTTTATGTTGAGGCTAACACCTTAAATTGCCTTAACACGTGGTTTAGCCTTTCTAAGCTCAAATGATGCATACATCATAAGACTTAATTTGGGAAACTTCATCAAATTTTATGGCATGAAACCTAATAAATATTTCATCTGAGCATAGCTATTTACAGATCTAGTAGCTTTGAATCTTCCAAAAAGGCTAAATTTGATATCGTTGTACATTATGAGACTGATTATCCCAATAAAACAATTAAACTTCCCTTTGGTCAAACCCATCATGTAACTCATTGCTCTTAGACCTTAATTAGATGTCAAGGTGAGACAATTTACCGTGAAAGTAACAGGTGTTGTATAGTTCTATGTATTTTCATAAACTACAAAAATTAGATGAAATTTGTAAGACCAAAAATAATATAAAACCAGATCATTAATTAAAACACAAAATGCTCATTTGGATAATCAAATTATAGCAATATATCTGCACAATAAGATTTTATTAATTCACTTTTATAAGGAAAAAAATACATTAATACACAGTAGAGAAACAATATTTCATATTTCAGATAACATTTACTAAAAGCATATTAGCTGAATAAAACATAGATTCAGTCAAATAAACCTATTTAGATATTCAAGCCCGTTTTCTATACCAAATTTCACAATTCTACTATCCTCACTAAAGTTTCCCAAAATATCATTCTTCAGAAGAACCAATTAAATTTCCACCATTATCCAACAATTTCGACATCAAAACTGATCAAAGTATCACATCTGTATTAAACACCACATTAATCACAGCAAATCAAAATCCAACCCCAAAATCCTTATTCCACACATCCGTTCAACCAGCAATCCCTCATAATATTAAATCATCTACCCTCACATCAATTAGAAAACGAAGTTTAACTCCCAAAAAAGACTTCTTTTTTTCAGATTCATATAAATTTCCCTACAAATTACAGTCTTTACCAAAACCCAAAAGCGAAAATTCCGAAATCCCCAAGCAAACAGTAAAAATAACATTCAAAGTCCAAATCCCTACTGCCCCTACACACATACACACGTACGTATTAAGACAGAAGAGTGATCAAGTACATTATGGGCACGGAGGTGGAAATCTCAGGCCAGAAGTAATCAACAAAGGCGTTGAGATTCGAAAGCGCGTGTAACTTAAGTGCCGGGTGAGTCTCGTTCAGCATCGCCAATAAACCTCCCGCCGAGCTCACCATCGTCGCGGCTGCGGCCATCTCAGCTTCAGAAATTATATTAGACTTTGTCAATTTGGGAAAAGGGTATATTAATTTATAAAAATGAAAGGGTTCGGATCCGCGGATGGAAGAGTGGAGGAGATAAATTTGTTGAGATTAACTGAGTTAGGGATAGAGAGAGGCACAGACTGAAAATTCTGAAATGGCTAAATTTCACCTATAGTCCCCAACCTTTGACCCTATTAGTAATCTTGTCCCCAACTTTTTTCTTTTCACAAACTTAACATTAATAACCTCTAATAATTAACTAGTGATTTTATAATAAAATTGTGAAAATTTTGTGTTCATGATGTTTTAAAAGGATAATAGTTCAAGCAAAAGTATGCAACAAAGATGATAATGAAAATTTAACAACTTCAAATCACTGACTCGACGATGACTGTCGTAATTTAGCTTTTCTTCTTTACCAATTATTTTGACTCCCTTTATAGTATTTAATACAATGCAGACTTCAGGTCTTGCTAGAGTGCCTTCAAAATCTTAATTATTTGTATAAGATGATCAATATTTGAATAGGTGTTTCCAAATGTTAGTCGTGATGATGCTGCAGTTTTCAAGCTTGTTATTTTGTTGAAATTAGTATATATAAAAGAATAGATGATAGAACAATTTTACTTTTACTGTGTTTAAAGGACTTCGATCGTCAACTCTCCGATCATCAAGTCATCAATTTTCTTGACCTTTCAAAACCGTATCCCTTATATGATCTTAAAACTTTTATGAAGACCTATGTTTTTTATAAACATTTATTCAGACCTCATCACTGTGACACGGCATAGCCAACAGAAATTTTTTTTGGTGCACCATACCTTTTTCTCATTCACAATCTCCTACTGTGTCATAAATTGCTTGGGTCTGCATAATCGTAGTTAAGTCTTCGTTAAATAAAGACGTCTTAATTTTTTAGTCAAGTATTTATACATTATACCCCTATTTCATATATGGTTAAAATTAGATTTTTAGTAAAATTTGATAAAAAAAAAAATGATGAGATGTGTAATTGAAAAGATGTGAATTTCATGAAATAATTGATGTGTGTGTGTGTGTATCCCTACTATATAAAAAGGGAAATGTGATGGCACTGTAGAAAGCAATAGCGTCTTGATCCATCTTTTTTTTTTCAATTGGGGCCAAAAAACGATGCCGTTTGCTTGATATATATTTTATTTTATTATACACTACTTCCAAATTTACTGCAACACGCAATTTCCATTCCTCCCCCACTCCGATATAGATATATATAGTAGGGATATAAGAAAAAAATAACTTTTTATATATATATAAAAAAAAAGATAGAGATGATATGCGACAGAAATTTTTTTACAACATATTACTTGTAAGTAAAAAATTTAAAGAGAAAAAAATTAAAGAGAATTTTAAATTGAAAAAAAAATTATAACGTAAAACTACATAGCAAAAAAAAAGTAATCTCCCCATGCACGAAGACATTAGTCTCCATACACAGAGATACTGTCTCCGTGCACAAAGGAAAGAAAAAAAAATTAGGAAGGACTCCGTGCACGGTAGAGAGAAATAAATTTTTTCTTTTTTTTTTTTAGTTATATTTTTGTGTTCATTTTCAGGCTCATTACGGGATATCAAACGAAATTGAAATATTACATTCTTAATATCGTTTTGAAATATTCGCGACATAGTATTGCACGTCGTTAACAATGCGTGAAACGGTCAATCGTAACAAATGTTATGGGACGTCAAAGTAGGCATTTTCAAACTATATTTCGAAATTTTCGATAACAAGCTAACTTTAAAAATTCATCGATGATTGTATGATAGTGGAATCGATAAATGTTTTACATTCTCTCGAAACTCATTTTGAGAACTATATCGTAGAGATATCGAATGATCTAAATAGATATCAAAAATAGTTAAACGGACATTAAACGTATGTGTTAAAAAATATGCATAAGTCGTTTTTTCTTTAAAAAATCAATTATTTTATTACTATTTCGAAATTTTCGATAACAAGCTAACTTTAAAAATTCGTCGACAATTGTATGATAGTCGAATCGATAAATGTTTTACATTTTCTCGAAACTCATGTTGAGAACTATATCGTAGAGATATCAAATGATTTAAATAAATATCGAAAATAGTTAAATAGAGATTAAACGTATGTGTTAAAAATGCATATACGTCATTTTTTCTTAAAAAATCAATTATTTTATTACTATTTATTCTTTTTCGTAACAATTTTCTCAATGCATCATTTTGTTCAAAAAAAATTATGTGGCATGACGGAAATTTTTTTCTCCGTACACAGAGTGAATATGTTTTTTTTCATCATTTTATATATTGAATTATTACTAGAAAATTAAATTTTATCTCAAACTATTAAAAATACTGATTAATAAAAAAAAATTTGAAGAAAAAAATTAAAAAGAATTCTAAATTGAAAAAACTATTATTTATAACGTGAAACTACACAGAAAAAAAATTCTCAAATCTAAGTTTTTGTTTGGAATTATTAAGAGAAAAGAATTATAAATTGAAAAAAAATTATAATGTGAACAACAAAAATTAAAAATTTTTTAATTCTTTTTTCTTCAAATTTTTTACTTAAAAGTAACTTTTGTAAAATATTTTTTTATTTTTTTTATATAAAAGTAATTTTTTTTTATATCCCTACTATATATATCTATATAAGAGTGGTTGAGTATGGAGTGGTGGGAGGTATGAAAATTACGTGTTGCAACAGTTTCTTACAGTATAATAAAATATTTTAAAGTAAAAAAAAAAATTTTATATACTTCGACTTCGTTTTATTACAGTATGATAAAATATTTTAAAGTTAATATTAAGTTTTATTATGAAAAGAAAAGAATTAAAAAAATTTTAAGTACAAAAAAATTATTTAAGAATGCAATTCCTAAATAAAAGAAAACAAAAATTAAAAGTATCTCTCCGTGCACTGAGGCAAAAAGCCTCCATGCACGGAGACTTGTGTCTCCCCGTGCACAGAGACTTTTTGTCTCCGTACACGGAGTAAATTTTTTTTTTTGTTTAATATTTGCGTTGTTTACATTATAATTTTTTTTTTCAATTTAAAATTTTTTTCTCTTAATGATTCCAAACAAAGACCTAGATTAGAGAAATTTTTTTTTTTTGTAGTTTTACGTTATAAATAATCGTTTTTTCAATTTAAAATTCTTTTTTTTCAAATTTTTTACTTAAAATAACTTTTTCTAAAATATTTTATGTCTTATACTATCTTTATTTTTTAATTTTTTATATATAAAAGTGAATTTTCTTTTCTTATATCCTTACTATATATATCTATATAAAAGTGGTTGAGCACGGAATGGTTGGTGGTATGGAAATTACGTGTTACAATAGTTTCTTACAGTATAATAAAATATATAGCAGGCAAGGCAAACGACGTTGTTTTTGTGAGGGGCAAAAACGACGATTTTTTCCTTGCGTGCTATATATTTTATTATTATATTTAAGAAAGGATAATCTAAATTTACTGCAATACGCAATTTTTCATATCTACCACAAAATATTTAAATCAGTATTATTACTATAAAATTAAATATTATCTGAAATTATTAAAAAAATAAAAATATTAATAATATAAGATAGAAAATATTTCTAAGAGGCGAAAAGTTACTTGTGAGTAAAAAAATTAGAGAGAAAAAGATTAAAAAAGAATTTTAAGTTGAAAAGAAAAATTATTTATAATGCAAATCAAAACTAAGTTTCTATTTGAAATTATTAAGAGAAAAGAATTTTAAATTGAAAAAAAAATTTATAATATAAACAACACAAATATTTAAAAAAAATAAAAAAAAAGTTAAACGGACATTAAACGTATGTGTTAAAAAATACGCATAAGTCGTTTTTTTTAAATAAATCAATTATTTTATTACTATTACGAAATTTTCAATAACAAGCTAACTTTAAAAATTCGTCAACGACTGTACGATAGTCGAATCATATATGTTTTACATTCTCTCGAAACTCATTTTGAAAACTATATTGTAGAGACATCGAATGATTTAAATAAATATCGAAAATGATTAAACGGACATTAAATATATGCGTTAAAAAATGCGTATATGTCGTTTTTCTTAAAAAAATCAATTTTGTATTACTATTTATTATTTTTTCGCAACATTTTTTTTTCGATATTTCTATGATATAGTTCTCGAAATGAGCTTTTACTGAGTAGAGAAGATTTATGCATTCAACTACCATACAATCGTCGATAAATTTTTAAAGTTAGCTTGTTATCGAAAATTTCGAAATATAGTTTGAAAATGCCTATTTTGACATCTCGTAACATTTGCTACGATTAGCCGTTTCACACACCGTTAACGACGTGTAATACTATGCCATGATTACTTCAAAATGATATTAAGAATGTAATATTTTGATTTCGTTTGATATCCCATAATGAGTCTGAAAATGAATAGAAAAATATAAGTTGGTTTGAAGAAATATATATATTTTTTAACTTATATTTTTGTGTTCATTTTGAGGTTCATTACGAGATATCAAATGAAGTCGAAATATTACATTTTTAATATCGTTTTGAAGTACTCACGACATAGTATTACATGTCGTTAACGGTGCGTGAAACGGTCAATCGTAGCAAATGTTATGGGACGTCAAAGTAGGCATTTTCAAACTATATTTCGAAATTTTCGATAACAAGCTAACTTTAAAAATTTATCGACAATTGTATGATAGTCAAATTGATAAATATTTTACATTCTCTCGAAAGTCATTTTGAGAACTATATCGTAGAGATATCGAATGATCTAAATAAATATCGAAAATAGTTAAACAGAGATTAAACGTATGTGTTAACAAATATGTACAAGTCATTTTTTTCTAAAAAAAATCAATTACTTTTTCTTTTTAATTCTTTTCTCTTCGAAATAAAACTTAATTTTTTATTTTTAACGAAAAAGTTATTTGTAGGTTAAAAAATTGAAGAGAAAAGAATTAAAAAAAAATTATATATAGTGTGGTCTTCGTGCATGGAGGATTATTCAATTTTTTTTTTTACTTTTCCATTCTCCATTTTCATACGCTATGACCACGCCTTTTCAAACCAACTCATTTGCTTATATTATTATATTATATATATAGTGTAAGAGAGGCAATGTAAATCTATATAACACGCAACTTTTCATACTTTCCGCCTTATTCCGTTCTGACCACTTTTATAAGTAAAAAAAAATAAAAAAATCACTTATAGTAAAAAAAAAATTTAAAATAAACTAAAAATTACTTATATAAGTAAAAAAATTTGTCTAAAATTATTTAGAAGTAAAAAATAAAATAAAGTTATGAAAATTAAATGAAGAATATATAAATATTATTTAATTAAATTTGAAAATTTTACTTTATAAATAATTGTTTTTTTATCAATTTATTTAAATTTCTTTTTAATTTTTTTCTCTTTCAAATAAATTTATTTAAATTTTTTTTTAATTCTTTTGCCCCACCATCTTTGGAGTGACTGTTGTATCATCCGAAAAATAGATCTGCTGTTAGGGTTCTAATTTTTACACCAACAAGGGAGTTGGTCATTCAGTAAGTGCCACTTCAACCTATTTTACGTGCGAACCTGAGTTTGTTATTTAAATATTTGTGTATGTGGATATTCTCTTTCAATTTACAACTGCATGGGTTATTTTTGAACTACAAGTATAGCTTCTCAAATTGAAATTGCTAAAGAAAAGTATTTTACGAAATTCAATTTACAACTTATTTGCAATATCAGATAAAAAAAATATCTTCACTACATTAAACAAAAAAATACAATAAATAATTAAAAATAAATTATCGTTGACATATATACAATCACAACATTCATTATACTTGTTTATAAGAATAAAAATAAATTATCGTGACATAAAATATACAGTCGATCAAAAGATGAGAATCAAACAAACATTTCTTATTTCCAAATACTTTTTGTACAATCTATAAATTTTACGCTAATAAAACCAAAATAAATACAAAATTCGTGCAACGCACGAGACGCAGATTAGTGTGTGTGTGTGTGTGTGTGAGTGTGTGTGTATATATATATTCAAATTTATCTGAGCTTTGTAAAGTACGATTATTCCCAAGAAATATTACAATTATGTTAATATTTTTTAAGCCTTTTATGTTTGGACTTCGTAATATTTTTAAAATTTCTTTATCTCGTATAAATTTGACCTACACACAATAAAAATAAAAGGGATCTCAACTTTGCATTCTCCATTATTAATAAAGCCAAAAACAACTTCGAAAATACTCCTACTTTGTTTTACGATTTAAATCTTAATGTTAACATCATTTGATATCCCCCATTATTATATGCTGAATGTCGCAATCTATCATTATAAAAATAATTATATATCACTTTCATGCAGCCCGGCGAGTCCATCAATGTGTATTACAATATTACTGAAATTTTAATAATTTTCTGAAATCTGCCCCTCTCAGAGAAAAAAGAATCATCACAATTGAAGCCAAGTTTCCATCAGAAAGAAGAGGCAGATTAATGGGGTTTGATAGCAAGGTGATTAGCTATTCTCATGTCTCAGTTCATAACACTCCTAAGGATTGTTGGGTCATCATAAATGCCAAGGTAATCAAAATTTATGTGTGTTTTTCAGCTGGTTAATTTTGTGATTGATAAAGTGAATTTAGTTAAACAAATTCTTGTGCTTTTGAATCATCTGCTTTTGAATCATCTGCAAGATTCTATTTCTGTAAAATTCGCCTTTGATCCAACCCCTAACGCTATTCTTGAACCACCTTGACTACGAATTGTCACATCTAAACTTTTGTAGATAGAGAATTAGGGTCCATTTGGTAGGACTTCTACTTTGCTTCTTGTAAAAAACATTTATAAGGAAGTTACCTTGTCAATTTGGCGGTACTTCTTCTTTTTAGCTTTTAATTTTTCAAAAGTCTTGTCCCGAGACCACCTTTCTCCGAAAACCTCTTTTAGTCAAACAAAACACTTTCAAAAAAACTATCCAAATATATTTAAAAGCATTTTTTTAGTTTTAGTAGTTTTTGACTTTTCGAAAACATTTTCAATCAAACCCTTAAACTAGGACTATTTATGTGAAGCTCAACTTAAGAATTTTCTAAATGTTCGGTGAAATCATAAGGCAGATGAAACACAACATATTGAAGCAAAGAACGGTCCTTTCACAACAAAATCTAGATTTGTTCAGAAGGCAAAAACTGATACAAACAACAGTTATAATTAAGAAAACCAGTGTTTCTACCACAAACAATCCGTCAAGGATAAATTCCACTGTGAAATGGTACAAAAAACATCCCAGACTTCGGATTATTACCATAAGTGTTAGTCCCTTAAACAAATTTTTATCTGTCATTAAATTTAGGTTTTGAACTCCATCCCAGGTAAAATAGGGTAAAAATCTATAGCAAGAGAATGTAAAAGGACATAGCATAAGATGTTTCCTAAAGTTCAAAGGAGAGGGGAAAAAAAATTACTGTCACATAGCCATGGTAAAGTGATCTGGTAATAAATCAAAACACAGATCAAGAATTGGGAATTTAGCTCTCAAATTGAAGATCTTTGACTGTAAGTACAAGTGTAAGACCAGAGAAAGCATTTTCATTCGAATCGAAAAAAATATATATATATATATTTTTCATCAAAGAAAAATGGCTTTTCTATCTTCTCGGATGGTCTCATATCTGACTCTAGTCTCTCCTTCATTCTCCCGCGCTTCTGCATCAGAAACCCAGTATTTAAATGTGAATTCGTTTTATATTAGTCCAACATTAAAAATTTTAGTCCGTCCTGGCTCTGGCCCTGTACAGGCATATAATGTAACAAACTTCTTGGACGACCATCCGGGTGGTGAAGAAGTCCTACTAGCAGCAGCAGGTAAACCATCATTCGAATCTTTACTAATAAAAATCCCAGGTAAAATAGGGTAAAAATCTATAGCAAGAGAATGTAAAAGGACATAGCATAAGATGTTTCCTAAAGTTCAAAGGAGAGGGGAAAAAAAATTACTGTCACATAGCCATGGTAAAGTGATCTGGTAATAAATCAAAACACAGATCAAGAATTGGGAATTTAGCTCTCAAATTGAAGATCTTTGACTGTAAGTACAAGTGTAAGACCAGAGAAAGCATTTTCATTCGAATCGAAAAAAATATATATATATATATTTTTCATCAAAGAAAAATGGCTTTTCTATCTTCTCGGATGGTCTCATATCTGACTCTAGTCTCTCCTTCATTCTCCCGCGCTTCTGCATCAGAAACCCAGTATTTAAATGTGAATTCGTTTTATATTAGTCCAACATTAAAAATTTTAGTCCGTCCTGGCTCTGGCCCTGTACAGGCATATAATGTAACAAACTTCTTGGACGACCATCCGGGTGGTGAAGAAGTCCTACTAGCAGCAGCAGGTAAACCATCATTCGAATCTTTACTAATAAAAATAATTCATTCTGTCGACTTCCATATACCTTATGTTGGGTGAGGCTTATTTGTTAGGTAAGGACGCTAGCGAAGAATTTGAGAACGCAGGCCATGGCAGTGCTGCAAGATTGATGCTAGACGAATTCTATGTCGGGGAGGTTGATCCTTCGACCAACCCTACTCCGGCTAGCGCGATTCTATCTCCACCACAGCCTGAATATGACCGTGGCAAGACATTGGAGTCTATTAACAAGATCATCTATTTACTTGTTCCTCTTGGAATCATGGCAATTGCAATTGGATTTCACTTCTACGACTGAACTATTTTACTTTTAATCTCTTTCGAACAACTAATCATGTACAAGTGAATTCATGTTTTGGCACATAACCTTGTATGTTGCTAGTCTGTATCAGGATATGGTTTTGAAAATGTACTATGAAGTAGAAAATTAACACCTGAATTCGCATTGGAAAACATATCTCGAATGCTAGTAAGGTTTGTTATAGTTTCATTTCCAATATTAAGTTTTGTCAGTACTTTCGTACACTGAAATATCTTGTTAAACACACGACTTTCTATGTTTTGATGTCATTTGAGATAGAAGTTTGCTTGTAGACCAAATAAATTGTCACATATTTGAAACTCTAGGCATTGACCATATAATTTTTTTGTGTAAACATGTTTCCATCTTGTGTCAAAATGGGCTGAGGCCGTTTGTGAGCTGTTCAACCCGGCTCGTTTGAGCATGGACCACATTCAGCTCGAGCTCAACATACCGGCCAATCAGGTCTAGGGATTAGTTGAGTGAGACGAGTCCGCTTGGTTGGACCGGCTCACAAAATGTACAAATTCAAGTTAGGGATGCAAAAAAAAAAAAATTACGAAATCGCAAATCGAATCAAAACCATTGGTCCGGGGTCATGGGGACCAACAATTTTTTCCCTCAAACTGAACCAAACTATTTTTAAATTTTTTAAATAAAACATTAATTTTATTAACTTATAAATTTTACATTTTTTTCTTTTTAGAAAAAATTTCAATTTAGCAATGCAAATTACAACCTACCCATTGGAATAATCATAGAAAGTAAATTGGGTTCATCATTATTGGCCCATGGTTTAACAAGTTCACAACATATGTCCTTATCCAATATCTAAACTAAACTAAAATTATTCTCAAATCATATGAAATGAAAATATATATATATATATATATAAATAAAATTAATCATAATTCAACAAACTACGGGAACAAATCATGTCCAAAGCTTCAGAAGCCTTAATATAAACTATCATTTTCCAAATATTTGATGTTTGTCTACCACTACTGAACAAATCGCCAATCGCCTTTCGTCTGCTAGTTTGCTAATTTTTATCTGAATCGCCTCTTTTTTTTCTTTTCTCTCGATAAGTCTTAGATTATCATTCAAGTTGTTTTCCGTTTTTCTTTATTTTATTTGTTATTTTTGAACTTATTATACACTTGTGGGTTGTAGTTTGAATAGAAAACTAACTGTGAAAATGCTAAAATTCCCTAACTAGTACTACTACCTTCTACTTTCATAAAATAGTTAGAAAATAAAATTCCTCAATTCCCAATAAGCTTAAAATATATCAATCTTTGTACATCTAAACACATTCTACTCAATCCTTATTTAACATTTCAGTAGCAAGACGAAAAGAGTTATAACCAAACTATAATAGCAGAATGTGACTCTATTTTTACCAACCGCTACATAACAATATAAAAGGCAAACAAGAAATGATAATAAAAATGAAGAAAAATGTATTTGTTCTATTAAAATCTTCTAGCAACCAACTTTGAATATAATTTATTCATGAATTTCATGGTAAATATGAATATAATTTAACATTTAATAGTATTAGTTCTTGCTTAAACTTATATGTTAACTTGTTTTAAATATATTAATATAATATCGATAGGTAAATCGCGGATTAAAATCGAACCAAATCGCAAATTATAGTTTTGTTTGGTTTGTTTCGAAAAATAAAATAGTTTGGTTTGATTTAAAAAAATTTCAAACCATATGAAATGGTTTCATTTGAAAATATAGCACAAAATGTCCAAATCAAACCGCGTCTGAAATGGTGGTGAAGTAATGCCTTCTGATCTGCCTCGTGGCCTTTGGCGTTTCTACTACTCCGATGAGCGTGTGTAACCTGAAAAGTGAGGGCGAGGCTTTCTCCCCGATTTTACCTCCAGCGTAAGAATCAGTTTATATGTTAGGAGAAAATAAAGTCGGAATTCAGATAGCTGAAAAAATGCAGTCATCCATACCTATGTTGCCCTCGGGGGTATTTATAGACGTTGGAAGCCGAGTGAGAGCCGGGTGGTTGTGGTGCCACGTGTCCCCACGTTGGCCTTCCCGTTACCCCCACATTTTGAGTGGGGGGTCTTAACTTCTCGCCCGGAGGTTGTGCCCATGGTAACCGCTACGTGACCTTGTCAATTCATCAGAAATTTTATAGCTAAGTGTTGAGATGGCCCTATAGGTAATTTCATGCCGGTCGATGGTCTCACGTTGAGGTAGAGCACTCGGGGGATCGATGGTTTCTCGTAGAGGTAGAGCACCCGAGGGGGTCGACGGTATCTCGTAGAGATAGAGCGCCCCTAATGGGTCGACGGTCTAGCGTAGAGGTAGAGTGCTCCCGAAGGGTCGACGGTTTCGCGTAGAGGTAAAGCACCCGGGGGTAAACGGTCTCTTGTAGAGGCAGAGCGTCCTCAGAGGGTCGATGGTCGCTCGTAGAGGTAAAGCACCAGGGGGTCGATAGTTTCTCGTAAAGGTAGAGCACCCGAGGGGTCGACGGTCTCTTGTAGAGGTAGAGCACTCGGGGATCAACGGTCTCTCATAGAGGTAGAGCTTCTAGAGGGGTCGACAATCTCTTGTAAAGGTAGAGCTCCTCCAAGGGATCGATGGTCTCTCGTAGATGTAGAGCACCCAGGGGGTTAACGTTCTCACGTAGAGGTATAGCGCCCCCGGCGGGTCGATGGTCTAGCGTAGAGATAGAGTGCCCCCGATGGGTCAACGGTCTCTCATAGAGGTAGAGCATCCGAGAGTCGACGGTCTCTCGTAGAGGTAGAGCGCGAAGGTCGATGGTCTCTTGTAGAGGTAGAGCACCCGAGAGGCCAATAGTCTCTCATAGAGGTAGAGCTCCCAGGGGATCAACGATCTCTCGTAGAGGTAGATCGTTCCCGGGGGGTCGATGGTCTCCATAAAGGTAGAGTGCCCCGAGGAGTCGATGGCCACGCATAGAGGTAGAGCACCTGGGAGGTCGACAATCTCGCGCAGAGGTAGAGCTTCCATAGGGGTCAATGGCCTCGTGTGGAGGTAGAGCGCCCATGGGGAGACGACTGTCTCGCGTCAACGTGTAATACCTTACCTTGCTCGTTATCGCAGGCAGTCGTCTATGCCATCCAATATCACTAGCCCCTACCCCTCGTCGATGTTTTTGGGCAAGAGGTAGCATCTCCCTTTCTCAAAAAGTTTTCTTTTATTTTATTATTTTTTTTGTCGTCGAAGGGTTTCCGTCTTCCCGCTTGCGTTGTGTCGACCGTCAGGCATGGTGTCTGGTGGTTAAGGGCCTGAGCCAATTTTTTGACTTCTAAGGCTCTCCACCTAACCACGTGGGCTTTGTTGACCGTCTGGAGAGGGGTCTAGCAGTTAAGGGTCTTAGCCAATTTTTTGGCTTCTAAGGCTTTCCGCCTAGCTGCGTGGGCTACGTTGATCGTCGAGAGAGGGTTCTAACGGTTAAGGGCCTTAGTAAATTTTTTAATTTCTAAGGCTTTCCGCCTAACCGCTTGGGCTATGTCGATCGTCGAGAAAGGGGTCTAACGGTTAAGGGCTTTAGCCAATTCTTTGGCTTCTAAGGCTCTCTACCTAACCACGTGGACCATGCTGACCGTCGAGAGAGGGGTCTAGCAATTAAGGGTCTTAAACCAATTTTTTGGCTTCTAAGGCTCTTCGCCTAGCCGCCTGGGTTACGTGGACCGTCGAGAGAGGGTTCTAGCGGTTAAGGGCCTTAGCAAATTTTTTAGCTTCTAAAGCTCTCCGCCTAACCACATGGGTCATATCGATCATCGAGAAAGGGGTTTAAAGGTTAAGGGCCTTAGCCAATTCTTTGGCTTCTAAGGCTCTCAACCTAGCCACGTGGGCCATGTTGATCGTCGAGAGAGGGGTTTAGCGGTTAAGGGCCTTAGCCAATTTTTTGACTTCTAAAGCTCTCCGCCCAACTGCGTGGGCTATGTCGACCGTCGAGAGAGAGGTCTAGCGGTTAAGGGCTTTAGCCAATTTTTTAGGTTCTAAGACTCTCCGCCTAGCCGTGTGAGCTACGTTGACCTTAGCGGTTAAGAACCTTAACAAAATTTTTAACTTCTAAGGCTCTCCACCTAGCAAAGTGAGTTATGTCAATCGTCGAGAACAGGGTCTAACGGTTAAGGGTTTTAGCCAATTCTTTGGCTTTTAAGACTCTCCACCTAGCCACGTAGGCCATATTGACCATCGAGAGAGGGGTCTAGCGGTTAAGAGCTTTAGCCAATTTGTTGGCTTCTAAAGCTCTTCGCCTAGCTGCGTGGGCTATGTCGACCGTCGATAGAGGGGTCTAGTGGTTAAGGGCTTTAGCCAATTTTTTGACTTCTAAGGCTCTTCGCCTAACTACGAGGGCTATGTCGATTGTCGAGAGAGGGGTCTAGCGGTTAAGGGCTTTAACCAATTTTTTTGGGTTCTAAGGCTCTCTGCCTAGCCGTGTGGGTTTTATTGACCGTCGAGAAAGGGGTCTAGTGGTTAAGGGCCTTAGCCAATTTTTTAGCTTCTAAGGCTCTCCATCTAACCACGTGGACTATGTTGACCATCGAGAGAGGGGTCTAACGGTTAAGAGCCTTAGCCAATTCTTTGGCTTTTAAGGCTCTCCGCTAACCGCGTGGGCCATGTTGACCGTCGAGAGAGGGGTCTGACAATTAAGGGCTTTAGCCAATTTTTTTGGCTTCTAAGGGTCTAGCAGTTAAGGGCCTTAGCCAATTATTTTGGCTTCTAAGGCTCTTCGCCTAGTCGCATGAGCTATGTCGACCGTCGAGAGAAGGATCTAGCGGTTAAAGGTTTTAGCCAATTTTTTGACTTTTAAAGCTCTCCGTCTAGCGGCGTAGGCTATATTGACTATCGAGAGAAGGGTCTAGCAGTTAAGGGTTTTAGTCAATTTTTTGGCTTCTAAGGCTCTCCCTCTAGCCGCATGGGCTATGTTGACCGCTGAGAGAGGTGTCTAGCGGTTAAAAGCTTTAGCCATTTTTTGACTTCTAAGGCTCTACGCCTAGTCACGTGGACTATGTTGACCATTGGAAAAGGGGTCTGACGGTTAAGGGCTTTAGTCAGTTTTTTGGCTTCTAAGGCTCTTCGTCTAGTCGCGTGGTCTATGTCGACCGTCAAGAGAGGGGTCTAGTGGTTAAGGACCTTAGCCAATTTTCTAGCTTCTAAGGCTCTCTGCCTAACCGCGTGGACTATGTCGACCGTCGGGAGAGGAGTATAACGGTTAAGG